GCACGACACACACAGGAAAAGCAGTGTCGGACGTGCCCAAACGCGCCCGGGTGGAACGATCGCCTGGCGTCGGACAGCGAAGCCAATGTCAAGGCCGATCGCTCGGAGCTGGAGGACGTGCACGAGATGCAGGAGTTTACCATCAAGACCATCGAGCAGCGGGAGGAGATCGAGCAGGAGGTGGAGAAGGAGATCGAAATGTCTGGCCTGGCCAACGATGCGGTGAAGGCCTTCGCCCAGGAGTCCAAGGAGTTCCCGGCCGGTCCGTGAGCGAGCGGCGACGTAGCGACTGGACCATCCCGAGGGGATGTCTCACCACTCTGAAGCCGCTTCAAAAAAAACACATTCATCACATTCAGGTTCGCACACACACACGCACCCCCCCCCAATAATGTTTAGTCCTCTGTCCGTTCGTCTTCTTCACGGTCGAGCCCAACCAGTTGAAGAGACACGCGCCACAGCTTCTCCTGCGCTTCGACATCGCAAGCCTTTGGGGGGATGAAAGTGGTCGGGAGTGAGTGGTGTACAGGCGCATCGTGTGACCACCTGGTGTGGTGGGCGGGGGTACCTGGCGAGACGGGGTGGCTTCGCGGCGGTCGGCGTAGTACTTCCCGCCTACTCCCTCCAGCGTGTCCTCGGTGGCGGCCCACACCGTCGTGGCTGCGCCCTGGGCCGGCGATTTGAGGAAGAGGGCGCCGACGCCGTAGACCATGTACTTGATGGGACCCCAGAGCTCACGCCACAGGGCTGTGTTCACCACTCCCGGGTGCAGAGCCGAGATCGTCACTCCCGTCCCTACGGACCGAATTCAAACGAACACATCCCCGCTCATTTCAGCGTGATCAGGTTCGCACACGCACACGCACACGCACACGACACACGCACACGCCATGTAGTCATACCGTCGAGAAGGCGCTGTCAGTTTGAAGGCGTGCATGACCTGGGCGAGCTTGGAGCGTGAATAGGCGATGAATCGGCTGCCGGGATGCTCCTTGGTCTGCAGGTCGTCAAAGTCCAAGTTGGCTGTGCGACACCACCCACCCAACCACCCCACCGCCCATTGGTCACCGCGGGCGTCAACCGTGCGTCTCGCTGAGCGATGCTGTGCTGTGGTCGGATTTGGTTTGGGTACCCATCGAGTGCGCCACGGAGGAGACGTTGATGATCCGCGCGGGCGCCGATTCCTTGAGCTTGTCCAACAACAAATGCTGATCCGCACAAGTTGGGGAGAAGATCAGTAAGCGTAGTACCAGGTCATATCTCTCCTACAGGGCGTCTTGCTGGGGCGTACTGTGAGAAGGAAGTGGGAAAGGTAGTTGACGCCAAACTGGTTCTCGAAGCCGTCCTTGGTTTCGCCGTACGGAGGGCAGTAGACCCCTAAACGAACCAGCAATAATAACAAATAATAAACAATAAACAATTTGTAAAGTGGTGAGATTGCGATGAAGACCGAACGGCGAGGAGTGTGGGCCGGGTGCCTGCGTTGTTGATGAGGACGTGGAGCTGCACGCCCTTCGCCAAGAAAGCCGAGGCAAAGTCCCTCACCGACTGCACTGTGTTGCGCGTTAGTGGGCACATCACACACACACACACACACACAGCCCACGCCTGTGGTCGCAAGCAGTAAGAGTCTTGTGCGATGCCCACGCACCTGAAGCGAAGTGAGGTCCACCATCTGTGAAGGCACCACACAAATGAAGGTGACACACACGGACCCGTCAGTGTTTGTTGAGCTCTCGCCCACAGAGCCTGGGACATGTGGGACACGCACCATGCATTCGGCCGTGCCTCGGGCGACGATCACTCGTCGGTCGGGCAGTCGGTGCAAGCTCTCGATGGCCTTCTCGCCCTTTTCAACATCCCTGCACGCTGCGCCACGACACAAAGGAATAAACAAATAAAAAACCAATAATTGAATTGCAAATCAATACAACTTTGGGGAGGGTACCGAGGACTACGTGGTAGCCACGGAGGTAAAGTGCTCGGGCGGTCTCGAAGCCAATGCCGCTGGTGGCGCCCGTCACCACCGCTACCTTTCGGCCTTCGAGCTCCACCTTCTTCTCTTCCACTTCTTCAACCGCCCCCTCCTGTAACTGTAAATTATTTTCATTTATTTAATTAATTAATTTTTTTACTCCTTTATTCTTCTTCTGCTGATAGGGCAATTCCAACCACGGTAAGGGTGCAGGTTTAATAAATAAATAAATAGGTTGTGTTCAGCACAGGTAGGCAAGTTCGGGGATCGTCGAGTAGCGGCGGCCGCTAGTAGCAGCAGGCGTACTTGTGGACGACGCCACGCTGCCTGAGCTCGCGGGACTGCTGGGCGATGGCGCAGCAGGTGCAGAACCAGATGCAGCAGAAGTCGCCGACGAAGGTGCCCGGGATGTCGTACTTTTGCCTTATCTTATTCCTACAAACGCAACACAGTGTTAGTGGTGGTCACCCGAGTTTGCCGTTGCACACCATAAAAAACGTGATGTCTCTCGCCATTGGCGAAGCTCAAGCAACAGCTCGCGTACTACCACGTAAACAAACTCCGAGTGGACTAGTCGCCGCGAAGAACGAAGAACGAAGAGGAAGAACGAAGACGGCAGGGGTCATACCTGGCGAAGGTGGCGCAGCAGAGGAAGCAGCACACCCCACCGCAACCGTCCATCGGGCCGCAGTGCCGGTCCTCCGCCGCCGAGTAGTGGTAGGCCACGTCAAAGCACCCACAGCAGTACGCCGAACAACACGTGTTGCCTGCCCTCCGCCCACACACCTCGTTTTGTCAGCCGCGCCGTTTTCCATTGGGAGCTAGATCAGTCGTGGGTGCGTACAGTCGGAGAAGCACTCGCAGAGGCCCGTCTCCCAGTCCGACATGTTTTCTCGTCCCATGGCTGCTCTGTGGGACTCTTGGTTGTGCTGGTGTGGTTTGTGTTTGCTGTGGTGGTTGTGTGAGGAATGAACTAAAAGAACAAGAGCACGGTGGTGTCCGGCGACTCTGACCAGCAACCAACACCCAGCTTTGTCGACTTTGAACTTTACGGACCAACCAAACATAGTGAGTCGGCACAACCAAACAGAGTGAGATGACATGACGTTGACCGATGAAGTTGAAGAAGCGGATGATGATGATGATGCTATTGTATTCACCGGCTGGTGCCGTCCACGGGCGTCACAGGGGAGAGAGCGAGGGGATTTGTGTGATGACTTGGTGTGTTGTGTGTTGTGCTTACTTTACAGAAGTGGCGTGTGTGGCGGTGGTCGAAGGAGAGTGGGCAGTGTGTCAAAAAACCTCGGAGGCGTCGCAGGCCGGGCAGCGGGGGTGGGACCCGAAGGCTGGCGGCGGTGCGGAGCTTCGCGGGAGTAAAAATGGAGGAGACTCTGCGCTTGGGTCGTCATCGTCGAGGCAGGCGCAGAGAGAACGATGGAAGTCGAAGAGAAGAGATGGAGTCGGGCGTCGGTGAGTACGAGGTAGTCGTGAGCTATGTGCAGGTCGTCGCAAGAGAGGAGAAGAAGAGAGATGTAGTCCGGATCTCAGTTGAGGAACATGCTGGGGTCGGCTTGGGTGAGCTCGTCCGGCATCCGACGGCGCACGCAGTGGCGCTGGAAGTGGAGGCCGCCGCCCACGGAGCCCAGCACCGAGTCGTTGGAGAGGATCATAGGTGGTGGCAGCGTCGACGCGAGGCTGTAGAGCGTGCTCGAGAACTCCTGCGGGACCGCGAGGGCGCCCGCGGGTGGTCCGCCGATGGGCGCGAGCGAGGGCGCACCACCGACGCCGCCGGACTGGGCCATCATCGCCGCCGACGACGGCGTGAGCGGCAGCTTGGGCGATACCACCTGGGCGCCTGGTCGTGGACCCCACTGCTGCGTGGAGTGTTGTGGCTGCTGCGGGTGGGGGTAGGTGTGCATCGACGGCGCGAACGCGGCGAACTGGGCGGGCGACGGGTAGATCGGCGCCGGGGCGATCGGCGTGGGCGCCGGGCCGGCCTTGAGCGGCTGCAGCGAGGGATGGTGGTGTGGCTGCGACGCTGTCGTGGTGGGCTTGATCGGCGCGTAGGTTGCCGCGGCGGCGGGCGGCAGGGGCTGGGCCTGCTGCGACTGGTGCGCGTGCTGGGACTGCTGCTGTTGCGGCGGCGGCGACGGCTGGGGCTGCGGGCTCGGCTGGGGCTGTTGGACCTGGCCCGAGGCGATGACGCCCTGCTCGACTTCGCTCAGGAAGAGCTGCAGGTTCTGAAGCGAAGACTGTGTGAAGTTGGCGAAGATATCGTTCCGCCCGAGGTTGAAGCTGCCGAGGTTGGCGGCGGAGCCCTGCTGGCCGGGGGCGGCCGTGGCGGCGGCGTGGGCGGCAGCGGCGGCGGCAAGGTGCTCGGGGAGGGAGGGTACGCTCTGATGGAAGGCCGCACCGAGCGCAGACAGATCGCCCAACGATGTGAGGCTCTCGAAGAAGGGGAAGTCCTGAAGATTCGAGAACGACCCGAAGCTGGCGTTGTTGAAGACGCCCGAATTGAAGACGCCCGAGTTGAGGCCCAGGACTTCTTTGCCCTTCCCCTTGGCGTCCATCTCTTCTTGTTGACCTTTCTCCACTTTCGCCAATTCTGCGTTCGCTGCTGGGTGCTTCGGTTGATTGTTGGATTGCTACTAACGAAAATCTTCTACAAGATGCGGAGAATCGCCCAGGCGTTGTCTTCGCGGATTGTGCGGACGTGTAGATAGAGGAAACGTAGGAAGAGCGATAGATCCGGTGCGAGAGACGGAGGAAGCTGGAACGAGACAGTCACGAGCCGAGGCTTGTGGCGCTTCGCTGGACGAACAAGAGAAGCACAAGAAGAGGCAGCCCAACGCTCCACGAGGAACGCCTAGGTCGAAATTTCGACACAAGCGCTGCAAATGGATAAATAGTCTGAAAAGCTGTAGAAAACTGCGGCAGTTTCGAGCGAATGAGTTTTTTGACACACACGTGAAATGTTCCGAACCAATAGGAGATGCGAATTTTACGTATTTGAGGCACCTTATCAACCAAGATCGAAATTTGGGGGAAAGACGGCCAGTGGATGTGTTCTCAATTGGCTGATCATTCTCGGATTGCATTGCGAAGCGATAATTGGTATTGGGCCGAAAGTCTGGTGTCCGGAAACCGTCGCTACAGAAACGATGACTCAGGACTCCTCTTGCTCTGCTCAAAGTCCGTGTTCTTGAGGCGCTGGCACGGCTTGCTCGACTTTCTTGATCAGCAGGGTCACTCAGTAGACGGCAGACCCGAACAAGAGTGGGCTGAATCATACTGATGACAACATGATGGTTCTGGACAGCGTGCATACCTTCAGAGTTGCTGGACAGCTGGGGGTCACTTCTCTGGCCTTTTGGGTTGTGGCCAGGCCTGGTATGCCTGGAATGTCCCGCAAGACAGACCGGGAACGGGTAAGGTGAGGCCACCACCGCTGCAATTGGCCCGCGTTCGCCTCCCTTACTGAGGCGCCACCATGAAGAAGGAAGCTGGTGAGTGTTGAGGGCGAAGCGGAGCCGAACGGTCCCAACAGAGCTCCGACTTCGCGTCGTTTCGGCGCAATTCTCAGCATTTCATGGCCGTGCGCGCCGCGCTCTTCGCTTTGTTATCTCCCGTCTACGCCCCCCCCCCCTCCATAAGACCCCACCGCTGCAGATTGCATACAACCAAGCACAAGATGAGAAGCAGAGTCACCACGTCCACAGCCCGCACCTCCACTTCTACGCTACTTGCCGTGGCGTACCGCCCTGCCGCACACACTGCCACCGCTCTGCCGCTTTCGGGTACGTATTTAAATAATAAATATTCTATATTTTTGAGCGTTTGTAAATCGATTGATCAATTGATTGATTGCTTGGTGTGCTCTTCATGAAGGGCCACGATTTGTGCGTGCACTCGCGACCACCACAACCGTCGACGGCGGGAAGCAGCGAAAGAAGCTCGTGGTGTTGGGCAACGGCTGGGCCGGCTATCGCCTCATCCTCGACGTCGATATCAGCAAGTATGAGCTCAGTGTCATCAGCCCCAGGTACCCCCCCCCGCTTCGCCTCCCAACACTGTGCGCTGCAGCCCAGCGGCAGAGACCACCGCAGACTGTTAGTCTGACACCTTCCGTTACGTAGGAACTACTTTCTGTTCACCCCTCTGCTTACCTCCACCACTGGTACATCACAACTCCCACCGCTACTGTGGTGCCTTCTCGACTCATCTTCCTTCGTTCTTCTTCCTTCTTCTTGTCGCTCTCACCGTCAGTGGGCACGCTCGAGTTCAGAGGCGTGATCGAACCCGTGCGCACTGCCCGCCCTGGACTCAACTACATCCAAGCTGGCGCCACCAGGTCTGTGTCCCTTTTTCTTCGCATGCGAAACCACCATCATGTGGCCACAGGCTCACACATGATCTCTACAATGCGCAGTGTGGATACCACCAACAAAGTGGTCACCTTTGAGAGCGTGTACGAAGAAAGAGAGACAGACGAAGAGGTTCCGGTTCATCCCGCCGCCTCGATCAAATACGACGAGCTTGGTATGCCAGTGGCAATCATGTGCGCTGTATGAGTGGGCGTGGGCTGTGTGTGCGTGTTGCATATGTGTCGCCGGATCTCACTTCTGTTTGCGGCACGATGCAGTGATTGCCGTGGGAGCTGCGCCCAACACATTCGGGTCCGTCATATCTCTGGCCCGCCCTCTGAGCCTAGTGGCCTCGATCTCTTTCATTTGTTTTTTACGCTCTTTTCGGCTACAGAGTGCCCGGCGTTGAGAAGTACTGCTACTTCCTTAAGTCTGTGGCCGACGCCCGCAACATTCGACAGCGGATCATCGAGTGTTTCGAGCGCGCCAGCAGCCCCACGACAACAGAGGCCGAGCGAAGCCGCCTTCTCCACTTTGTCATCGTCGGCGGCGGTCCCACATCGGTCGAGTTCAGCGCCGAACTCCACGGTAGCCACACGCACACGCACACGCACACGCACACGCACACGCACACGCACACGCACACGCACACGCACACGCACACGCACACGCACACGCACACGCACACGCACACGCTCGGGGCATCGCCCACGTATGGCTGCTCGTCGCTTCAAAGACTAACCATGGCGCATGCGTCGTGCTGCAGATTTCCTGCGCAAGGACGTGCACAAGATCTATCCGGATCTCGAGAAGCAGGTGCAGATCACGCTCATCGAAGCCGGCAAGACGCTGCTGAGCACGTTCGACCAACGTTTGAGCGACTACACCATGCGCACCTTCAGGAAGAGGAACATCGACGTTCGCACCAGCGTGTCGGGTACGCCGCCGCCGCCAGTCTCAATTCACTCGAACGATCGGTTACTGAACGCACACACGCTCGCGCGCAGTCAAGCAGGTGAAGCGCCACGAGATGGTGCTGTCTGATGGCGCCGTCATCCCCTTCGGCCTCGGCGTCTGGTACGTCGACCATGGACCACTCGACTTTTCCCGGCCACAGCAGCAGCTCACCTCCATTTCCTCTCGCCGCCGCCCGCGCCTCTAACCCAACTCAAGGTCCACCGGCCTGTCGCCAATCCCGTTCATCAAGGGCCTCCCATTCCCCAAGGACAGGTAACGTAATCTGTGTGATTCCCTGGCCGGCCGCCTGGGCTGACGATGGTTGATGTTGGTTGGACCAGGTCGGGCCGACTGCTGGTCGACGAGTACCTGCACGTGAAGGCGCCGGGCGTGGAGGGCGTGTACGCGGTGGGCGACTGCGCCGCCTTCGAGACCAACCCGCTGCCGGCCACCGCCCAGGGCGCCGAACAGGAGGGCAAATATCTTGCGCAGTACGCATTGAGCCCACTCGCGCGCGTGTGCGGCGTGTGTGGAGTGCACGTACGGTCACAACGCTCATCTGACACGACACACGACACACGACACACGACACACGCACAACGACAGGGCGCTGAACGCAAAGGCACGAGGGGAGGAGCCCAAGAAGTTCCAGTACCACCACAAGGGCATGCTCGCGTACGTGGGTGGCTACCGGGCGCTGATCGACTCGCCGCTGATCAAGCGGTCGGGCTTCCTCACGTGGATCATGTGGAACGCGGCCTACATCACCAAGCTCGTGTCCATCAAGAACAAGATGATGATCCCCATGTACTGGTTCAAGTCCTTCGTCTTCGGCCGCGACATCTCCCGATTCTGATCAACGCACCAGTCCCAATATCAAAATAAAAATTAAAAAAACTAATTAATAAGCATTTTGTGTAGACACTGTGGTGCATTCCGTTCGTGCTGTGGCACAACACGCTGGAGTGTGCACGAGGAGGAAGAGTGAAGATGTCTGACGCATGGACAGAGTTGGACAGCATTATTCGGCACCAAGGCGACTATGCCGAAGTCGAACGCGAGGTGCGACACACATTTGCACTGAATCATCAGCATGACGAATGATTTTTAAATTCAATTCAATTAATTAAATCCAGCTGAGATTTTTGGTTTTTGCTTTTTTGACAATAAACCAATAAAGACACCAATAATAATTATTAAAATGTCTCTGCTCTGTGGGTGCACCCACAGAGAACCGAGCTTGTGCACTGGAAGACGAGGGCCGAGAGGGCGGAGCGAGAGGCGCGCGCATGGCAGGAGAAGACGCGCAGGCTCGCCGAGGCCGTCAAGGAGGAGCGCGACCTACACGAAGTCGTACGTGGCCTCTATCTCTGTCTCTATCAGTGCGTGCATGCCGCGCGTCTGCTGACTCTCACTATGTCTGATGGCGGCGGCGATTGCCAGTCGTACAACGATCTGCTCAAGGACAAGAACTCGCTCGAAGAGAAGTGCTCGCTTCTCGAATCCAAGATGCTCAAGCTCATCGACATGGTGAAGTCGGGCAAGTTCTCCCAGAGCGGCAGCCAGGTAGCGCGGCCTCTCGTTATCGATCGAGACCGTCCCCACTAACCCTAACTCTGTGCTTCTCGACACACGCACACGCACACGCACACGCACACAACCACACAGATACAAATGTCGCCGCGAGCGAACGACAGCGCAGGTAAGCGCCCAACAAGCACTTGACGCCTGGTTGGTGAAGGGCCTAACGTTGTCTAACGCCGCACGTGATGCAGACTTGGTGGTAGAAATGGAGAAGAGGCTGAAGGAAGCGAACCAGCAAGCGGAAAAGAGCAATATCGAACTGGCGCAGTCAAAAGAAAGGTTGGTTGGTGGCCCGGCCCACACTCTCTGCATATTGTTGAGTGAAAACGCGCTGCTCATGGTGTGTGTGTGTGTTGTGTCGTGTGTCGTGTGTGTGTGTGTGTGGTAGAGTCTCGTTGATCGAAGGCAAACTGCGGCAGTTGGCCGAGGTGCTGAGGGCGGAGCGAGAGGCCAGCCAGAAATCTGCAGCGGAGAACCAATCGATAGAAATTGACCTCCTCAAGAAGAAACTCGGCGAGGCCGCGCAGAGGGAGGTATAGACACTTCTTCCTGCCTCCATCCACGTGCGTTCTTCGCGTGCTCGTGCTCATCTCCGGTTGGTCGCCCACAGCAAACCCTAAAAGCGGAGCTATCGCAAGCGCAGCAGTCGTCATCACAAACGTCACCTCAAGCGGCCAACGCACATGTGAGTCCCCCCCTCCCTCTTTCGTTCTTTTTCTCTCTTTTTGTGCTTCGCATTCTTTTTTCCGCTTTTCTGTTCTTTGTCTGAACGACGGGCGGGTGGGCGTCGTTGGCAGGAGTCGGAGCGAAAGGTGAAGGAATTGGAGGACAAGCTGCAGAAGATCGCGGTGGGCGTGCGGAAGGAGCGCGAACTGAAGGCGGCCGAGGTGAGCGATCTCAAGACCGCCAACGAGAAGCTCTCCAAGCGACTGGAGATCTACCAGGAGCGCCTCACCGCCGTCGAGCAGGAGCTGCAGGCCAAGGCCGGCAGTAACGGCGGCGACGACGGGAAGAAAGAGCTCCGCATGTGGCGCGAGAAGGCCGAGGAGGCCGAGGAGAGGGCCAAGCGGGCCGAGATGGACGCGCAGGACAAGATCAGCGACTACAGGATCAAGGTGAAGCACCTTCTGGTCCAGCAGGAGGCCAAGTTTAAGGAGCAGAGCAGTGGCGGCGGCCAGCAGCACAGCGGCGCGGAAGAGGCCGAGCAGCGATGTCGCGCCCTGGAGCAGCGCAACCGCGAGCTCGAGGCCGCGCTCGCTGCGCTGCAGACAAATTCGAGCGCTGCGCCGATCACCGCACCGCCGCCGATGGGCATGGGCGCGCCGCCTCCGCCGCCGCCGGCAGGAATGGGCGCACCGCCTCCGCCACCGCCCACGGCACCGCCTCCGCCATCTGGTGCCGGCACAGGAGCTCGCAGTGGGCCGCCGGCCTCGCTAATGGACGCCATCAAGCAGGGAGCATCCCTCAAGAAGGCGCCCGCGGGCGGAGCCCCCAAGCCCAAGCCAGCCGGTACAACACACGTCGCACACACGACACGATATGCAACACGCTGGCCACAAACACACACACACACGGCTGATGGTGATCAAAATCTGTGGTGGGAGCAGTGAGCGCACCGGCGGGACCCAATTTGGCGCAGATGGCCGCAGAGCTGGCAAACCAGCGACGACAGCGCATGCTCAACAGCACCCAGACCGACAGGGGCTTCAGACGTACGCTTTCTTAGTTCTTGCCTTCACAAGCGATCCGGTGGCTTAGTGTTGGCGTGATCCACGCAGGATCGGTTCGGTTGGACATCATTCTGGAGGACGTCAACAACTCGTGAGGCCGCTGGGGAACACCAAGAGGCCGTCGAAGGAAAAGTACCCTTTGCTTGCTGTGCTTTGTTTCCTATTATTTATTCACATTAATTCTTTTCCTTTGTAGTTTCTCTTCCCTTTACTTTATCCTTTTTTGGACTTACTTTACCGGTAAAATAGTCTAGAAAAGCGCTCGCCCGTTCAAATAGTTTTTTTGTAGACATCACCCAAGGAGGCCTACCAAAGTGACGAGAAAGACGAAAAGAAGAAGTGTGTGGACATGGTCTTACGAAGGTGAAGTACTTCCACCTCATCATTCGAGACATCAGAGGAGGGAGCGCATTTCTCAAATCAGCATACCCTGCCATTTCCATCACACGCGATCGAAATAATCTCAATCGCGCATTAGAAAGGAATGGACTTGATGGGCGGCCGACCACCGGTCGGGAGCCATCGAGACCAGCACCGCCGCACAGCGAGCGGCTGCGGCTGGGAGCCAGGAGAGGAAGGGTCGGCAGTTGTGGAGAGGGCTACCACGGCCAACCTGCCCCCGCGCCCCTCGCCGCTGCACCGCCAGACGACGTCCTCCGCGTGGACCATGACCTCGCCCTCGACCTCGCCCTCGAGCGCCGCGGCCAACGGCCTCTCCCCGCAGCCCCTCCGCTCCTTTCGTTCCTCGTCGGCCTCGACCCCCGACTCACTCTCCCTCGCGGACGTGACCAACACTCTGCATAGCTCAGATTCCCTGACCATCTACACTATTTCCTCCTCCACTTCTTCTTCGTCTTCGTCTTCATCTACGTCGTCCTCTTCAACATCCTCGACGTCGTCGTCAACATCTTCGATGTCATCAACTGCGCCGACCATGCCAATGACAGAACCAACAGAAACAGCGGCGCTGGCTCACACCCCGCCCCGTGCGCCGCTCACCACGTCCACCTCATCTTCGTACACTGCCGACCACGCCCCCTCGGCCGCGCCGGACCCACCGCGAGCCAAGCGCCGGTCGCGCATGCCCACCATCACGCTTGACCCGTCCTCTCCGCACGAGGGCGACGCCAGCGACCATGGGCTACCGCGCCCCACCGGCTGTCCGTCACCACCACAACCCATTACCCCAACCGCCGCCGCCGCCGCCGCCACTAGCAATCACGACGACGAGCCGCTACCCATCACCGGAGCAGCAAGTACCGTAGCGCCGGCGTCGCACGAAGGGCTCGCGTGTGAGATGCCGGCGGTTGCAGCGGAGCAGTCTCCGACGGGAGTTGTTACCACGACGGCCGCAGCGGCAGCGGCAGCGGCAGCGGGCTGGTTGCGCGAGCTGGGGAGCCTGCGGGACGATCAGGAGCGCATCGACCTGCTGGCCGAGGTGCTGGCCATGGCCGACGCCGGCGAGCCCAGCCACGCCCTGGTCCAGCACGCTCGGCGGCGCATTCAGTCGGCCCGCACTTGCGGCCTCTCGCCGGAGAAGCCCGACAAGACCTCTGCGCAGACAGCAGCCAGGAAGCGGAAGTCGCCCAAGTCGACGACCAGGTCCTCGAAGTCGAAGAGGCGGTCGAGTAGCATGACGTGCACGATCACCACGGAGAAGACCTCGAGCGAGCAAGCCGCGCTGACCACGAGCAGCCCCGAGAAGGAAACCGTGCGGCGGCAGAAGGACACGGAGAAGGAGAAGGAGAAGGAGGTCAAGCGGCGCAACCGATCGAAGACGAAGAAGTCGACGGAGGAGTCGCTGACGGACTCGCCGAGCAGCGGCAGCAGCGGCGAGATAGCGGCGATTGCGAGCGCCGGCGAGGCGCTGGCGTCCAACCTCTCGAGGGAGGCGCTGGCTGCCACCACGGTGGGGACGAAGCGGGCTCGGTCCGGCTCGGCCCGGCTGCTGTCCAAGATCAAGATCAAGCACACGTCGGCCACCTTTGGCACGTCGCACGAGGGCCATCGCACCAAGTACGATCTGGACGACAAGATGGAGATCCTGGAGCACGACGAAGACGGCCTGAGCGACCAGGAGCAGCCCAAGAAGGGGTATGTACCCGGTGTTACATGCACGCACGCACGACACACACCTCTCATGTGCATCTGCAGCATACGCTCCCGGCTGGTCAAGGGACACTCAGGCCGTCGTGCTCGAATCTGGTAACTCCACTTTATTTATTTTAGTTTTATTTATTTTTGTATTGAGAACTCTTTTTTTTCAGCCGGTTCGAAAGAACCCAAACAGCCTCGCATGGAAAGGCGAGGATCGCAGGCCACAAGGTACTCTCCACCCGCAGAACCCACCGCGTGCATCGCTCGTGGCGCTGATTTGACTCACTCGGCCTTCAAGCATCACCAAGAGCATTCCGGCGCTGTCCCGACCGGCCGTGGTGTCGCCCGCATCGTCTCAGAACAAGGTGACACACCAAAAGCAATTCTGTTGTTCCACACCTGCTGCGATCAACTCACACACGCGAGTGACTCGCTTCCTGTCGGGCACCAGGGGCTGCTGTCCCGCATGTTCGGCGGCGGCGGCAGTCCGTCCGATAAGATGGCTCATACCGTGCTGAGCGAGGAGGCCACCTGGCGCGCCGCCTTCGCCCGCCTCGGCGAGCGTGAAGTTCTCATCGCCGGTACCGCTGGGAGACTTAACTACATTTATCTCCGCACCCAGCGATGACTGACGATACGATCATCTCCAGCGCATGCATGCAGCTACAACGGGGGCAAGGGCATGTTGTACATTTCCAGCGAACACGTGGGATTCCTCGAGCGTCTCTCCGAACAGCATGCTTCGGTCATCAAGGTACGCCAACTATCATACCATCACGTTTCCATCCATTTGCGCTCACCTTACACGACACGACACGACCAACGACACGACAGAAATTGTGGCTCTACGAACAATTCATCTTCGTCCAAAAGGCTTCGAATCGCTCCGTCACCATCACTACTAGGGATGGCCAAGTGCGTTCTTCAGTGCTTCATTTCCTCTTCTTTCCCTCCCCTTGTTTCTCACTTGGCCCCAAACGTGTTGGCTGTTGTGCAGATCTGCTTCGCCAAGTTCGACGCGGGGCACCAGGAGTTTGCCTACGCGACTCTGCACGCCCAGTTTGCGCCCTACGCCTCTCGCACGCAGTCGTTTCACCTGGCCATCGACGAAAGGGACATCCAGGTTTCGGCTCCTTCTCCTGATCTGTTTGGTGTTGTGGTTGTTCACCCTCCGGAGCTTCTGGGCATACAGACGGTTCGGATTCTCTTGCGCGACGGCGAAACAACGAAGCAGCAGATCAAGGCCACCTTCAACCGGAGCGAGACCCCACTGGCCAGCGCCCTGCAGGCCAACGACGCCGAGATCGGTGCGCCACCACTCGCGCACTACTGGGGGGGAGGGGGCTGGCTTTTGCGGGAGACGGACGGGTGAAGTTGACCAACTACGACTCACTTGCACTGCCTGCCCTGTCTTCTGCAGTCAAACTATTTTTGCAATACTATCGACAAGAGGGGCTGGACATCAACGCACCCGACGAGCAGGGCAACACACCACTTCACGTCGCCTGTCTCTACAGCAGGGTAAGATTATCGACACACGCACACACGCACACGCGCACACACAACACACACCGATTGCGCTCAGATCGCAGATGTGCGGCGGCTAACAGATTCCATGGGCCATGCGGTACAGAGCGAGGTCCTGGAGTTGCTGCTCGCCTACGAGGGGATTCATGTGACGATGGAGAACGAGGACGGCAACACGCCGCTGCACTATTTCTGCCGATCGTTCCCCTCGCCGACCTGCCAGGCCCTGCTTCGGGTGTTGCTCTCCCTCGGCGCCGATCCCAACAAACCAAACCAGGTACCGTGTGCGGTGGTGCGGTGGTGCGGTGGTGCGGTGGTGCGGTGGTGCGGTGGTGCGGTGGTGCGGTGGTGCGTCACTCAGACTGAGATGTGGACACAGTCAGGAGAGACACCCCTGCACAAGGCAATTTTGAATAACAGTGTGCGAGTGCTGCTGATCGAGTGTCTGCTCGACAACGGAGCCGACGTGAACAGCGTCAGCAAGGTACCACCTCTCTCCTTTGAGCCACCCGCCAGCCACCGAGTGACACACTCCCTCCTTACCGAAATTGCGCAGCTCGGGGAGTCTGCGCTGCACTACGCGGTGAGGCTCGGCCGAAAGGACGTCGTTTCGCGCCTCTTGTGTGCCGGAGCCGACACGGAACTCAGGGCCAACGTCGACGGAAAGACGCCCACCGAGGCAGCCGTGGCCTCCACGCACGCCGTCATCGCCAACCTCCTCCAGCGAGTCGATGGTGCGTTGCATGCCCCCCTCGACGAGCTCGCTCGTTCACTCACATTCCTCACATTCCTCACACCCACCGCACACTGTAGAGCTGCTGCATTGGCTCCGGGCTGTGGAGGCCCAGGTGCTGATGCAGCCACTCATGGCCCGGGACATCTTCCTCAACGAGCTGGGCGTGATGGACGAGGCGGACTTCAACATCATGCTGGAGCGCATCGAAGCCAACAACAACGTGGTCATCCCCGACAAGACGAAGCTGCGCGAGGCCTGGGCCGTGCTCAAAGGTGTGTCGCGCTTCCTATCGCCGGCGACATACCTGAAATACCTGGGAACTAACCGGGTGTTGTTGCGCGCAGATCGCAAGATGAAGGAGTTGACCAAGGCCGAGGCGATGCAGCTCGCGGAGAAGCTACAAAGCAGAGACGTGGCCAAGTTCAAGCATTCGATACACAAGGTGCCTTCACGCATCCCATAGAAATCGGCCCAACCCAGTTTGCCACTGACAAAAGCTGCGCTGGTCCTGTTGTCGTACGACAGGTCATTGGTGAGGCGCGACAGGGTCGACCCAATCCGAGACGGCTCTCCGCTACAGTTGACGTATGACCTCACCCTTGGCGCATCAAAAATGTTCTCCCCTGTGGCCACAGCTTACCTTCTGTTCTGGTCCGTCGCGGGCATGGGCAGGCCTTGTATAACGACGACCATTGGATCATCCGGCACCCCGACCTCGAGTTCACCCAAATCCTGGGCGACGGCACGTCTGGCAAGGTGCGCCTCCATGTTTTATATCATTAATCTTATTCAAATTACTTTTAAATTCACTATTTTAATTCACTATTTTTTTTGACACTTGGGCGACGGCGTGCAGGTGTACCGGGGCCTCTACAAGGGCATGGACGTCGCCATCAAGGTGCTCTACAAGAGCGCGCAGAAGGAAGGTGAACCCTTCCACGAGATCATCGAAGAAATCAAATTCCTCAGGTGAACCCTCCACCTCACCGCCCAGAGCAATGCGGGTGCTGGCGGTGTGTGCCGTGTGCCGTGTGCCGTGTGCGTGTGCGGTCCGTAGTTCTTACATTTAGGCACAACAGCTTTTTTCGAGGACACGTCCCCCGAGATCGTCCGCTTCTATGGCGTGTGCCTCGAGCCGGCCGTGTGCCTGGTGATGGAGTTTTGCGAAAGGTACATCACTAGTCTGTTTCCACGTTCCTCGCGTATCTACCGCCCGTTCAATTGACACACGCCTGTTTGTTTTGTTTGTTTTGTTTGGCGTGATATGATAAGGGGGTCACTCCATGGTGTGTTGAAGGACGAGAAAACGGACATGTCGTGGGAAATGGCGATCTCCTTCATCCAGGCGACCGTGCGGGGCATTCACCTCCTGCACACGTCACAGCCGCAGGTGCTTCACAGGTACCGCTCCCGTGTTACCCCCCTGATCAAGACAGGGTTTTTTTTGCGATTTCTATTTCTGTTATTTAGTTTAAACTTAAATGGCAACTTTGTACGAAGCGATTCACGTTTTCGTCGGGGACTGCGAAACAAACGCGCAGGGACTTGAAAACGCTCAATCTGTTGGTGACCCACGATTGGCAGATCAAGGTGGCGGACTTCGGCCTGGCGCGAGCAAACACGAACGACAACCAGAGCACGTTGGCCCGCCTCTGTGGTACGTGCCACCAATTTGCGCCTTGCCGACCGGACACGAGCGTCTCCTTTTTTGGGGGCGTGCGTGCCACCACAGCCTAGCGATGAAAACGGTCTCTAATGTGTGCCGCCGTAGGAAGACTCTAATGTGATTCTAATGTGTGCCGTCGTAGGAACACTCTTTTACTGCGCGCCAGAGCTGCTATTCGGCGAGGCCTCCTACACCACGAAGGCCGACATTTACAGTCTGGGCATCGTGCTCTGGGAAATCATTGCCAGGTAACAAACCAACCCTCTTGGCTGCCTTTTTCAGCTGAATGCGGAGCAGTGAGTGTATCACTGATTTCCTGAATTCACACACTAGGTGCATAAATGGAGAATACGAACGACCATATGCCGAGTTAGGCCGACAACACGAGGTAAAAGACATATATCTCTATTTATCTCAAATACGATGTTTGTATTTTGCTCATTTCGCCTATGTGTGTGTGTTTGCATATAGATATACATTGTAACCCAGGTGTGTGAGTTCGACCAACGACCGACCCTGCCCCCAGGGTGCCCCGAGGTCTTCGTCAAGCTCGTCAACGCCTGCTGGAACCCAGATCCCGACCTAAGGTGTGAATGTGCTCGAACTTGTTCTCCCCAATCACGGCCAGTCGCTAACTTCATGAATGAATGAATGAACAACGCAGGCCCTCGTCCGACCAGGTGCTCTCCATCTTGGACACCGTGGCCGAGGACTACGAGCGATCACCCGAGACGTGGGAGAAGACGCGACTGCGCAAGACGCCGGGGTCATGACGATGTTGTTGTGCGCCACCAGCGCCTCATTTTCCCCTTCTTCTCCAACCCAACCCGTACACACACATTAATGCTCTCCCCCGTACTTGTTCCATATGGCTGTTGCCCACCAGCATGGCTTGGTGGGCTTGGCCTGTGAGTTTTCTTTTTATGGACTGATGGGGGGACAGCCATGTGGAACCCATACAAAACTCTGATATATAGGTGACCGGGAAGTCGCCAGGCCAACCTTCTCACCAATCTGAATGGTGACCCCATGCTCAGCAGCCAGCCTGCGTGATATCTCTGTCTTGATGAGGGCCTGTGTTGTCAGGGTCAGGGCCTCCAGCTGAGGCAGGAATTCTGGAAAGTGGTTGGTGTGACATGCACAGATGGATGTAGTGTGGTTAGGCAAGTGAGAGAGGGTTTCAGGAAAGGGGAATGACAAACCAGCACCCACAAAGGGTCTGCGAGTTGGCGCTGCTTGATGCCAATCGGCCTTTGCAAACTGTGAGCAGAGGTGAAAAGGAAGCTTCCACTTCTGGCCATCAGCAAGAGGTGCCAACTCGCCTGTATGTTTCTTTGGTTAAGACAGGATGCATCTCTCCTGTTGAAATGAAACGGCGAATACATACCTGTTCCCAGCTCGGCATCAAGTTTGGTTGAAAGCTCTTGGCAGGCGCGTGTGATGAGGGTCTGATGTGTCTTCACAGTTTTGTGGTAGCCCTGGTTAAGAGCGCTGACAACCTTGTGGAGCATCTCCGGCACTTTCTGGGGCTCCTCTGCCATATGGGGTAAATGCCAGTAGTCCAACTCCCTTTGCCATAGGTCCTTGTCGATTGTCTGCGGAGCCACCAGCGCTCTGGTGGTGCAGGATCGTTGGTGACAAGCACACCTGGCCAGAATGGAGGAAGCGGGAGCGTACCCATGGCGATAGAAGTCGAGAATGGACGCAAACAGATCACCGTTACGATCGAAGAAGTATTCGGTGCTGTGGCGCACCAGCGCTTGGTTTCTCTCGCTGAACATGGCTCCCAGAAGTGTGTCCGGGTATTGTTGCAGCGTGCTCCTGGGTGGGGGCGAAGGGAATACATCAGGATTGCCCCGCAATGCAATGCAACATTGAGAAGCAGGCTGCAGGAAGATGTAACTGGAATGTCTTGAAGGTGCGACCACCAACGTTGAGGGTCACCTGTCGGTCCAGTTGCCTCTGTTCCTCTTTGTCCGAGCCTCTGCCTGCATGGGTTGTACTCTTGGCCTCTTCGCCCTCGTTCCTGATCTCTTGCTCCTGCGCTTTGTCCAGCTGCGCCAGCACACTTGTCACCTGGGCGGCGATGGATCGGGGTGAGTTGTTATGCACTGATTGGGCGCGATCGCAGCGAAGGAACTGACACCCTTGTTTACCTTGCTGTTGAGCTGCGCGGTGATGCCTGCCATGGTGCGGTCGAGCACCTCATTCCATTCCGCCGCCTGCTTCTCCAGCTCACTTTGCAGACACAGAGATCCTTCATTGACCTCGGCCACGCGCTGGCGGCGCTCATTCAGCGCTCGTTCAACGGTGAGGTCCAACGTGCGACCTTGCGCGTTGACCTCCTGGACCTGTTAAATAAGTTGTTGTTGTTGTGTTGCCGTTCCTGTGAGATTGCTGGCTGCGCACAGGCACAGCACACCCACCGGAGGGCGCTCGTGTACCTTGAGGTGGAGTGTGGTTGTGACTGAGGCCATAGTTTCGTCCATGGCGTCCATACACGCCTGAGCCTTAGACTCCAGTTGTGCCTTGAGATGTGTGACGAGGCTGGCAAGGTTGGCCATGTCAGCCAGCTGTTGGTCCCGCTTGCGCTGCACGCACTGCAGGGCCTCGTCCATGGCCTTGGTGGCCGTGCTCTGCCCCCCCCCCGGAGTTAAAACAACCACCAGCAGCTGGTGGCAGTGGATCGGGGGGGGGGTACAAGGCGAGCGCGGATGACGTGCTCCACCATGGCATTGAGTTCTTCCACCACACCTGGCTCCTCTTTGAAAGAGGGTGAACCAAATTCGAAGGCCACGAGTGAGCGGAGAAGCCACCAAAAATCAAGGAAATAGAGTCGGAGGTCAAACCAGTAGGCCGACAGGGGAGGGCGGACAGACCACCGTCTGCCACGAGTGCCGGACTCTCCAACACAAACCCAGGTGCTTGTTGCTGTTGTCTCTCCATTGTGGCGGATATTAATAAACGCCAGGCAGGTCCTGGTTTTCTGCCGTTATCCCTGTTCATCGAACTGTTGAGACGAACACTCGGGGCAGAATTCGTTGCCTGCGGGCGTGGGGTGGCGCCTGGTGGAGGCCCGGGCCTCTTGTTGCAAATGTTCTGCTCCGCGTCTAGTCGGACCACTAGCAACACACCCGCGCCCACGCACACAAACAGACACGCACAGGCACCAGACAGCTCGCGCTTTGATAAAGCCTTCTATGCATCGTGAGAGACTTCAGCGCCACACACACACAGGCCAACTGTTTTCCTTCCTGACGAATGTAAGCTTCACTTTACTCGTACGAGGTAGTTGACATTTTTCACCTTCGCCTGTGGCGCTTTTCGCCGTCGTCGGCCTTGGTGGTGTCTCTTCGCCGCCGCTTGCTGGCTATGGCTACTGCGGGCTCTGCTCGCTGCCCGTCCTCTGCAGCCAGCCGTCGCTTGTGTTGGCGCTGATGCTGTTGATGTTGGTGTTGTAGTGTGGTCTGCTCTGCCTGGGTTTCTACCGAATACCCGAGCCTGAGCTGGAGCTGGGTGAGCTGCTTGCGCAGCTCGAGCCGTTGGGTCTCGAAGATGAGGTACTTTTCGCGCTGCTGGATCAAGTGCTCCTCTCGTCGCTGCATCTCCAGGAACGGTTCGAACAGGGTCATCGCCGCGGCTTGGTGGGCCTGCTGGTGCTGGTGGTGATTTCGCCTCGTTCCGTTCTTCGAGGGTGGCGCACATGCATCGGCGGCGATCGAGGCGGCGACTGCAGCGCTGGAGGTCCCGGTGGAAGAGGCCTTCTGCGAAGGCTGAGGCGACCAGACCGACGGGAGGTACGCCAACAACCGGGGCGGGCTTGGCAGGCCGGAGGGGCTCGTACGGCCTCCTCCAGAAGTGGTGGCTGCCATCTCGGGTGGGTGGAGGAGTGAGTGGATGCTGACCTTGCCCCGAGAGCATGATCGGTCAACCGTGGTGGCCTGGAGTGGAGCGGGTCGTGAATCGCCGCCCTTGGGATGAGCAGCCGGACCGGGACAGCGGGAGAACGCACATTCAGCGCCGGCCGGCTCAACAGGGTTGAGGAGGAAGGAGATGGAGAGCTGGTGATGATGGTGACGATGGTCACCCGGCGGGGAAACCGCGGTGGCGGTGGTGGAGCCCATGTGTGTAGGGGGGTGAGGTCGATTCCAGAAGCCCGGTTTTTCGAACATGTTGCAGTTGATGGCGAGCCACTGCGCTGACTGTGACAGTGCGGAAGAAGACTGCTGTTGTGTGCTGGGTTGCATCCTCAAGTTCGTTATGCAGTAGTTGTACGGAATCGCCCTGTCTCACCCACGTGTGGCAGTCATCACCAACAACTGCGGCGTTTTGTTGAGCAGACTAAGGATAAGGGAGTATGTGGTGATGTAACGTGCACCTTATCAGAACCTTGGTGCTGTTCCACGTTGCAATGGAGTAGCTTAGTTTAGGTAGTGAGGCTCTTCCTTTAGTTAGTGTCCCAGTACCCGTTACACAGGGTTTCCCCATACAAAAACTCCCAAACCAGACAACAAACATACCAAAGAAAATCAACAAAGAAATGCACAGCCTGCTGTGATTTCCTTTCGTAAATTTCTTTTTTTTATTCGGATCCGAGGACGACGGTGTCGCTTCAACCGGCCCTGACATCCGAGAGCGGTCGCCAGGCGGGGTTGGTTGTGTGGTCTAGTTTTTTTTTATTTTGTCCTAAAAGCTTGCTCTTTGGTAAGATCTCTCTCCCTATTGTTGGCAAGACGAGATGGAGAGTACAAATGGCCCAGCTCCGCAGGCTGCTACAAAATCTCTGGCAACAGAGGGCAGAAACCGGCTGCGATCTTCATCTAAAAACGTGAGCAAGAACGCCTCCGCCTCCCTGTCGTCTTCGCCTGGGACGGCCGGCACGCTGGCGGGGGCGATGAAGGAGCGAGAGAGGTCGGGCTCAGTGGACAAGGAGAAGAAGGACAAGGTGAAGAAGGAGAAAAAGAAAAAGGAGAAGAAAGAGGCCGCGAGCGCCGCCCCATCCCTTCTCTACTTCTCCACATCTACCGTGCCCACCGTCACCCACCCGGAGCTTCCGTCCCAGCTTGACAAGGTACGTCTCCCCCTCCCCAATTAAACCAAGATTTAATTTTTCTTAAAATAAAATAAAATAAAATAAATAGAATAACAATTAAATGACATATTTGTCTCTGCTCGGGCAGTTTCTGGTCACTCCGGGCATGGACGTGGTTGACGGGCTCGTGAGTCGCCTGCGCGTGGAAGACATGAGCGACGTGTGCAGCGACCTGTCCACCATTTTCGAAGTTCATGGGCAGACGCGACGCCTCATCCAATGGGCCGTTCGCAAGGAGCTGGCAGCAACCACCAGTGCGTTGCCCTTTCCTCCCACCGCTGCGTGCCTATTGTGCGTGTGTGTGCGTGTGCGTGTGCGTGTGCGTGTGTGTGCATGTACTGTGTCATTCATGCGCCTCTTCGTCTCCTCCCAGATTCGTCGTCGGTGTCGACGCTCTTCCGACAGACTGGCGTGGCCACGTGCATGGTGTCCATCGAATGCAAGCGCAAGGGCGGCGAGTATCTCGTGGCCCTGCTCCGTCCGTTCGTCCAGCGGATATGCAGCGAGACCAAGTCCATGGAGGTGGATCCGCTTCGCATGCGCTCCCAGTCGGCCGAGGACCTCGAGAGCAACCGCCGGCGGCTGGTGGAGGCGTCACAGGATGCGCTCGACCTCATCTTCGCCTCGGCGAGCTCCTTCCCCGAAGCGCTCAAACACACATTCCTCATCGCGCACAACGAAATTCTGCAAAAGCTGCCCAACATGAGGTACCTTCCACCCACACACCCACTTATCATTCTTGGCATTCCTCAAAAATGTTTGCCCACCTCCTGACACCGCCTGTGGGCCTTGGTCAGGTGGACGGCGATATCCAACTTCTACTTTCTGCGCTTCGTGGCGCCGGCCCTCGTGTCGCCCAAGGCCTCGGGCGTCTACGACGGCAATCCGTCGCCCCAGGCCCTGCGGGCGCTCATGCTCATCTCCAAAACTCTTTCGAATGCCGCCAACGGCGTTCCGTTCGGCGACAAGGTGCGCCTTCTCAACCGCGGTTCAGCGCAAAACAAACGCACGCACGCACGTACAGAGGCGCTGATCATAGGCGTGGCATCAAACGCACACAGGAAGGCTACATGACAATCATGAACAGCGTGATCCTCGACAACCAGCCGCGCATGCGGGCGTTCCTGGAGAAGCTCATCGGCATGACGGCCGACGTCGACGCCCCCGACACGCAGGCGACGCTGGCCTCCTTCCCGCTGCAATCCGATCTGCACATGGCGCGCTGCCGCCTGCTGGCCGCGCTCTACTCGCACCGCAACGCCGTGCTGCCCGGGCTCATGAACACGCCGACGCCCGTACCCGGCTGGACGCCGCCCGCCCGGATGTCCCTGTCGGGCAACAACGCCGCCGTGGCGTTCCGGGTTCCAACGACCGACGGTGAGCGCAAGAGCTCGAGCGCCGAGACCACCGCCATAGGCGCCGACGACAAGAGCAGCAAGGCCACGCTGGGCGAGATGTTGGGCCAACTGCTCGATGCCTACCGCGTGCACTGCCCGGATTGGGTTTGCGCCTCACTCAAAAACGCGATCAATCGATTGAATGGCTGGCTGGTTAGCTGACGGCACCATTGACGTACAGGTGTCCGACGAGGACAAGGAGACGAAGAAGAAGGTGCAAGATGAGCTGCTGGAGAGGTTCGAGGAGGGCCTGGCTCACACCATGCGCCCGGTCACGCCATTATCCGTGCCCTCCGGCCGTCTCTTCCGACTGCTCCTGTACGTTGCATGAATCTGTTGTTGTGTGCGACTCATGCGCGTTTAAAGTGCCGTATATCGTGCGTGTCGTGTCGTGTCGTGTCGTGTCGTGCGTGTCGTGCGCATCGGCTGTGCCTGACCGCTCGTGTTTTTTGAATCGGGAACTGCTACAGGGATGTGGAAAAGCAGCGCACCAAGGAATTGGAGGAGGAGTTGCGAATCATCAAACTCAAACTCAACACGGAGACCCAGGCCAAGCGCGACCTGCAGCTCCAGATCCTGCGTGGCAACAACGCACCCGCGTCAAACGGTAAGGCCTCCCCTCATTTAGCTCTGTCTCATATTTGCACTCATATTTTTGCATTTTTTCATTTAGGGCCGTCTGCCGGTTGGGTGCGGGAACGGCAGCGAGTGGCCGGTCAGTTCGGGCAGATGTACGACATGTTGAGCGCCTTCCGAGGCCGGATCGTGGATCTCGAGCGCCTGGTCCTCAATGGTTCGTTGGTCCACCACAACCGATTGATTGTGGTCCAATACATGCACTCACGCCCATTGGCCTGCGTGCGTGTATTGCCTGGTCTCCGCAGAGGCGGCAACCGAAGGCGCCCCTTCAGGAGGAGGGGGACAAGTGCCCACCATCAACTTTGCCTCTGGCCAGCCTGAACATCCAAACGTATGCGCTGCGTGCACGGTGAGTGGGATTGTGGACTGAAATGTGTGGTGCGGTGCAGGCGGGGGGTGCGTTGAGTCCGCGAAGCCGAGCCAAGGCAAGTAAGGACAAGGCCAAGGCCCAGAAGCGACGCTCGTGGAACTTGAAGCTGGGCAACCCGCTCGCCCACAACCCGTGATGTGCTCCCTGCTCCAGCCTTGTCGACAACAAATACAACATGTTCTTGTAATAAAATAAAGTTCGCCTAATTTCTTTTATTTTTTACCCACTGTCTTTGATAACATGCAGGTGGTGGCCATAGATGACGGCACAGTCCCGGGAGCAAGCCCTCAAGGTCTTCCGCGAGCTTATATCTCGAGTTTCCCATAATTGCGTGTATTCTAACATGTCACGCCCCGTGCAGAGAAAAAGGAGACGCTGGAGCGGTGGGCTCGCTACAACCTGGACCGGTACCGTCCACCTCCACCTTCTGACTTTTTGTTTGTCTTTTTTGTTTGTATTAAAAAAAATTAAAAAATGGTGTTCCAATTTCGCGTGTTGCCTGGCCAGCTACTACGAGGTGGTGGAGGACCTGACGTTCCCCACGGCCTTTCTTCCCTTGCCGCTCGCCGACGCACGACTCTTGGTAGCTCCTTTGCCTCTCCACCAGAGCTCAACATCGAGGCCTGTCTAGATCAGATGGCAGTGACTGATGATGGCAATGTTGCGGTGGTCTCCGTGCAGACGAAGGGCAGCCTGCCGGACGGGCTCAAGGACGACCTCAATGCCGCCATTCAACGCGTGGGCGGCAGCGACGGCGCGTTCGTTCGCCTCACCACGCGCAGGTACCACCTTAAGGTCGCCAGTCGGCCTACTACACAACTTTGACTTGACAAGCTATGATGAAGCTGACGTACCACGTTGCGTGCGCACAGCCCCAAGGACGCGGTGGACAAGATGCCGGAGCGACTGGCGCCCTTGCTCGAGGAGGCGCTCAGGGGCGTGCCCGAGGACGACCAAAATGCGACCTTGATCGCGCTCCGGCGGGCGTTTGCGCAAACGCTGCGCATCCACAGCGCCGACGAGGCCCTCTTCATCATGAGCCTCTCCGGCCGCACCATATCCGACGTCATCCGAGTACGGACCACACATTCGCGTCACATCACGTCATCACACCACACGCCACGCGCTCACCGTCTATGTTTCGATCGTGCCTCATCAGATGTCGAGCCACCCCGACGCCGACCAGTTTTGGGACATGCAGCTCGTTGTGCGGAAGTTCTGCGACCTGCCTGCCCACGGTACCACTCGCACTACACCCGGTTTCTTTCTCCGCAAGAGAAGCGCTGATGTCGGCGCCGCATGTCATGCCGCCAGGCGAGTTCCGGGTCTTTGTGCACTCGGGCCAGGTGAGGGGCATCTCCCAATACGACACGCTGTGCTACTTCCCGCACCTGGTCCAGCAGAAGGCGGCGATCGCCGCGCTCGTCCTCGAGTTCCACGAAGCGCTGCACCAGCGCGTGGGCCACTTGTTCGACGCCTACGTCCTCGACCTCGCCCTGCTCGACAACCCGGCCGAGGCCGCGCCCACTCCTCACCGAGGTACGTTCGTGCCCGGCATGTGTCCCCCGCGCTCATCAGTCGCCCGTTCGTGTTCAGTCTTGCTGGTGGAGATCAACCCGTGGGATACGCACACCGGCGCGGCGCTCTTCAACTGGGAGCAGGACAAGCAGATCTTGGAGGGTTCCGGTACACCCCACGCGCCACCGCACACACAACCGCACACACGCAACCGCACACACACGTACGCTTGTTGACGCGGCTGTGGCAGAGGGCGAGGTGGAAGTGCGAGTTGTGGAAGAAGATCGCAAGCCCGTGTTCACCACCTGGCAGCCGCTCGTGGACGCGGCCCGCCAACGTTGCAACCGAGCGAGTGGTGATGGCCGCGACCAGCCGACATCGGGCGGCAAAGGCAAGGGAGACGACAAGTGCGTTCTCTCGTGAGGGAAGCCTGTCAAGCGAAACTTTTTGTACATTCAACTTGAAACAGCTTTCGGAAGTGTAAAACTGTTTCGGAAATAAATGACAAACTGAAAGAAGAAAGAGATGGAGAAGGCGGAGCAAGAGGCGACTTCGCCACCAGCTGGACCAGGACCATCTGCCGCCCCCTCGCCGCAACGAGGACGCAAGTGGGTGTGGGATTACGATTTGCAGCAACAGGAAGAGGCAGATTTCTACGATGATGAATCTTACGATTACAGCAACCCTTCTCCCCTGTCCCCCATAACTTCGCCGCAAATGTCGCGGCGCTCCTCTTCTTCCTCTTCCTCCACAACTGAAAGCAACCTCCTCTCGTCATCCGATTTCTACCCGATTATGGCCTCCACTCCGTCATCTTCGCGGCGGATGACGACGCCTCGGCCATCCTTCGACACCGGCGGTGGCGTGCAGCACCACCAACTCGACCCAGCGTTGTACAACACGCTGGCCTGTCTGCGGCTGATGAAAGGAGAACTGGACGTGTGGCACGCCATCATTCTCCTCAACAAGCACCGAGAGCCCATCATTCAAGGTACGACTCGTGCACATGTGCGTGTGCGTGCAGCGTGTGCGGTGCGTGCAGCGTGCGTAGGTGGCATCGAACGATAGCTGATCGGCTGTTCGGTTATGATCACTGGCACAGACTTCCTGTGCAACGAGCTCAAGGCCTCGCGGGACAGCGAGCTCGAGTTCTTCCTGCCACAACTGTGCAACCTGCTGCTTCACACCACCTCACTTCCCTTGGAACGGTACGCGGCGCCACGGCTTCATAGGTACACTACACGCAACGAGCTGCAACTAACTCGGCCGCTTTCTTTCCTTGGCCGCCGCACACGTTGCAGATTCATGCTCGACTTCTGTCGGCGGTCGGTACACGTCGCCCTACGAGTCTACTTCTTCATGAAAAGGTGCACATGTCGACGACACCTAAGGCATCATGCATTGGGCTGTGTGAGGCAATCGTCATCACTCACAAAACAACCCCCACAAAATCAGCGCACTCGAAGACGACCTGCCCACCACACGACGAAAAGCGCGGTACATCAGCAAGCGTACCCTTCACATAGTGGGTCCTTCCGCCAGTACGTCGTTGGCCTTCCTACCATTACAATATCAACACTCGAATCTTCTTTGGCGCGCTTGTGTGTGCGTGGTCTCACCCCGGTATTGTGCGCGTCTATAGACAAGGTGGTCCGAAGCTTTTGGGACGACGAGCTAGCGTTGGCCAACGCGCTCACACGCCTGGCCTCTTCGCTCTTCGACGTGCCCAAGGACAAGCAGAACGCGGTGCTGAAGGCCTCGCTGCATCAAATCAACTGCCGGCTGCCCGTCGGCCTCTACCTCCCCATCACCAAGTACGCACCACCGCACGAGTTGGATACTAGTGCTTTCCAGGCCGGGCAAATCAACGAACTCTCGCTGCAGGTTGAGCGACACGTACTACTACATCATCAACCTGGTGGCCGAGGACGCGTTCTGTCTGGGCACCAAGGCCCGGGTGCCCTACATGATGTTCGCCGAGACCGTGCGGGTGTCCGGCGTCATGTTCTCAACCATGGAGGGCAAGCTCAAGGAGATCCAGACGCAGAACCAGATGGCCCTCCGACCGATTCCCACCCAACCCCGCAACAACCAAGTACGTGATGCGCGCGCCACTCCTCTCGCCCGCACTCTCGCCGCCGGAGCCGCCGCCGCCATTACTCACCAGTCGCCCCGGGGTCTCGTCTGCGCGCGCGCAGATTCCACAGACGCCGGCCTTCTTGGCGGTGATGCACATGCTCAAGGAGGTCAACGACACGGCGGTGACGTCGCTCCTCCATCAAGCCCTCCACCTCTCCGGCGAACACAAGCCCCGCGCGCCGGCGGGCGCTCGAAGCCCGACAACGCCGGCACCGTCGTCGTCGTCGTTGTCGGTTGTTGAGCCACGGAGGTCCATGTCGGGCATCGTCGCGCGTCACGGGGTCAAGCGAAAGCCTCGACGAACGCCGGCCGGCAACGGCATCCTCCTGCGCATGGACGATGACGATGAAGAGGATGACGACGACGAGAGCGAGGTCGAGGCCGAGGTCGACGACGGCGGAGACCCGGCTCAAGGCAAAGCAACGAAGAAGAAGAAGGCGCCGAGTCCCCACCTGCGCACCCTGGCCGAGGGCGGCAAGCAGCTGTTGAAGCTGCTCTCGTCGGCCAACCTCAAGGCCGACAAGGCAGCCGGCAGCCACAGCCGATCCGACGCCGCCATTGTCGAGCGACGACGCAGAATCCGGCCCAAGCACACAGCCATCTGTACGCCGCCCGCCTTCTTTTCTTCCTCAGAGAGCAGGGTTGACTTACGTTGGCAGTCAATAACTCACACATTTCTGGGCCGATACAGCTCTCGCGTACAGGGAGCTGTGGCAATCGAAGAAGAAACGAATACAGGAGAACTCATCTTTTGGTAGCATGCCAGGCTGGGGTACGTTGTGTTGCTGCTGCTGCGACTGAGCGTACGATCACGTCTCACTCGCTGACGCACGTCGCGAACAGGCCTGGTGGCGGTCATCGTCAAGAGCGAGGACGACCTCCGCCAGGAGCAGCTGGCGATGCAGCTCATCAAATGTGCTGCCAACATCTTTGAGTATGTGCTCCCCCAACTCTAGCATTCCCGCGCCTGTTGTACTGAACCAGGCGTTGGGTTAAAACCGCAGACTGAAGCACTTGCCTCTGTACCTTCGCCCGTATGAAATCACCGCCGTCTCGTCAAGCGCAGGCATGATCGAGTACCTACCACCTCCCTTCACTCACTCACCCACTCACCCCGCAAGCGGCCCTTCCTCAGCACCCGCACCCTCACACGCACTCTCTACGCAGAGTGATTCCGGACGCGGTGTCGGTCGATTCCATAAAGCGGCGATTTTTCCCGAGTTCGCCGTCGCTGCTGAGCTACTTCACCACCACCTACGGCCGGCCCGGTTCGCGATCCTTCGATGCCGCTCGCAACAACTTTGTCGAGAGCCTCGCCGGTTACTCGCTCCTTTGCTATCTCCTCCAGATTCGAGTACGCAACCGCGCCCATGTGTGTCGTGCGTGCCGTACGTGTCGGGCGCTCACCAGTGGCGCTTGTGGTGTTTCGTAGGATCGACACAATGGCAACATCCTGTTGGACGTGGAGGGCCACATCATCCACATCGACTACGGCTTCCTGCTGGGCATAGCGCCGGGCTGGTGGCAGTTCGAGACGGCGCCGTTCAAGCTCACCGGCGAATACATCGAGCTCATCGGCGGCTTCGACTCCGAGTGCTATCGTTACTATGAGGCTCTCTTCATCAAGGGCTTCCTTCAGCTGCGCAAGTACCACTCGCGCTTCACCCAGCTCATCGAAATGATGGTCGAAGGTACGCACCACCGCACACGCCGATATGGTGCGACTACGTTGGCGCACTCACGCACTCACGCACTCACGCACCACCGCACACGCACACAGGCAACAGGATGCCATGCTTGTCGGACACGACGTTGCCGCAGTTGGAGGAGCGATTCAAGTTGACCATGTCCAAGGAGGAGGTGGCGGCCTACGTCAAGTCCCTCATCCGCGAAGCGCACGGGTCGTGGACCACCGCCTCCTACGACGAGTACCAGCGATGGACCAACGGCATCCTGTACTAGAACATGCAGTTGGATGTAAATGAAGAGTACGTGTTGTGGTCGTCTTAACGTGCTACGTGTATGACGGCTGACGTGGCACCGACACCTGAATTTGATTTTCTTACACTCTTTTTAAAATTTGATTTTGATTTCAAGAGAGGATGGACGAGAGGGCGGTGGGGTTCAATCCGAGGACGCTGGGAGATGGACTCGTGTACGGCGCCAATGGCGACGTACAGGCGTTCGGTAGAGGTCCCAAAACGCCAGGCCAGCACAAGACGCACGAGAGAAATGTGCATGCCAAGGGCGATTCCAATCATTCGGCTGTCGAGAATGGAAATGGGGAGGGATCTGCCACCCCAGGAGCCACAGAGGGCGAAAAGAAAGTGCCCAACGAAGCGCTGCTCGACAAATTCCGCACTGATGGTGAGTGCTCATCTTCATCTCCATCTACAGTTTCCTCTTTCCTCTTCTTCTTCTTCTCCTTGTTTGCACCTCATAGATGCGTGCCCACAGTGACGTACCAGCAGTTCTTGCGCAAGGACTTCAATCCACAGCAGTACGCGAGCACGGTGCTCAAGGCGGCCGACCAGTCTCCCTACGCCCTCCCGTCGGCCCTCGAAAAGATCTCCTCAGGTATCCAGAGCCTCAACAAAGAGCTCAAAGTGCAGGTGCGTAGTTCTAACTGCGATTCCTTGACGCACTGAACCCAGCTGCACTGCAGACTCACGCACCACGTTCTGTACACACCACACCACACCACACCACACCACACCACACCACAACACGACGTGCACGACAACGACGATTACACAACAGTCTGCGAATCAGCACGAGGAACTGTTCCGCCAGGTGCACACGATCAGGCATCTGGAGGACATTCTCGCACAGGTGACCGGCGGAGTGGATTCGCTGCAGAGCGCTATCACCAGCATTCGATCAGAACTCTCGGAGCCGTTCCTCTTGATTCAAGCCCGCACCACCCAGCTCGAACGAGTCCAGGTACCATTGCGGTGTGGACGTGCGTGTGTCGTGCGTCGTGCGTGCGTCGTGCGTGCGTCCTGTGTGTGTCGTGCGTGTGTCGTGTCGTGTCGTTGAGGTAGGCCAGAGCGACTCACCTGCGATCCATCGCACTATGCAGTCGAGCTGTGACGTGCTGCGGCAAATCACGCGGTTCCTCTACCTAGCCAAGAAGCTGCGCTCACACCTGGACACCCAGCGCCTGCCCGAAGCTGCCGAGTGCCTGTACGAACTCGGTACGGCGGCACTTTAAAGCTTTGCCCTCCACACTCATCTTTTCCCTCACGCCTCTCCCTCTGGTCCATCCCAACCCGTGTGCAGAGCAAATTCGCAAGACGGCCGACCTCACCGGTATTCACGTGGTGGACAAGGAGACGCAGTGGATCATGAAGGCGGACGAGGACGTGACCAACGGCGCGTCCCTCATGCTGATCCAGGGCATGGAGACACAGGTACTCATAGTGGACGTAGTCGTCGTCGTCGTATCGGTCATTGGCTGCTGCTAATGTCGTGTAACAACTAGAACCAATCGCAAGTGGCGAACGCCATCAAAGTGTTCTACCACCTCAAGACGCTCGAGCAGAAGCTCGACACCACCCTCACGGCCCTCAACGCCAAGATCTCGCAGACCACCAAGAACGTGCTCTCCGAAGACGTGCAGAGGGAGGGTACGCAACCTACCGAGCCAGTGTGTCTGTTGCGCCATGTTACAGTGAAGTTACGGACGACTAAACGCATAAACGCGCCACTACTCGTAGCCCAACTCAACCACAGGCGCACGGCCAGCGGAGCCAGCAACATGGCCAAGTGGCGTGCCGCCCTGTGGACGCGCATCGAGCGCCTTACGGATGTGCTCCACTCGTGCTCTGTACGTTTTGCTATATTCCTCGTGGGTCATTGAATTCAAAGAACACTCCTATGGACCAAACGCTAACGCACGTCATCATCATTATTGTCTTTGTTCACAGATTCAAATGTGGCATCTCCAGCGAGTCATTTTGAAAATGAAGAGTACAGACACGCATGGCCTCATTCTTGACGATATCGTCAAGGTACGTTTTCTACTTTCTTTCATTTCTTATTTCTTGGGGTTGGTCATGTCAGCTGATGACCACTGCTCTGTTTTTTTTGGTGCGCCTTCAGGTGGGCACGACCGAGGAATTGTTCGCCACCTTCTGGAAGTCGCTCACGCAGATCGTGACCGACGAACTCGCCAACGCTGCACGAAGTGCGTCCGCTCTTTCTTTTCTCTTTTGTGTCTTTCTTCTTCTCTTTCACTTGCGTCGCAACTAGAGCCGCGCTTCTGACCGACCGCGTCTTCACTCTAGGCTCGCAATTTGTCGAGACCGCCTTTGTCGGCGAATACCCCAAGCTGCTGCGGCTCTTCAACGATCTCCTCAAGCGACTGCGCACCCACATGGAGGTCAAGGATCCCAAGGACGAGAGCAGGTAAAAACCACGCACGCACGCACGCACGCACGCACGCGCTACCTTCGTTCTCATCGTCGTGATGATGCGCACTTTCACATGCAACACACAGGTTGGCCTTCGAGCAGCAGCTCATCGGCGCGCTCGCCAAGTTCGAGCACCAGTACCTGTCGCGGTCGCTCACGCACCTCTTCGAGCCCATCAACCACATCTTCGCGCCAGGTCGAGCCGCGCCCGTTCCCGACGATGTGGTACGCATTACATTCCTGCCATTCCTCCCCTTTAATTATTGTTTTTATTATTTGATTTTAAAAAAATCATTTATCGTCATTGTGCAGGTGGTCTTGTCCAAAGCCATCGTGAGCGAACTCGAGACTTCGAAGCTGGACGAGCGACTGAACGCCTCCATTTCCCGCGGCGTCGCCAAATCGCTCAAATACTTTGCCGTCAAGAGCGAGAACATGCTGGCCACCGAAGCCGAAGCCTACCAGGTCCGTACCAGCCCAGTACTGGACCCGGCCTCTCGCGGCGGCCTCTTACGGGGGCTTTGGCCTGCCCTCTGATGATGATGTTTTCCCCCGTCGACAGGTGGTCGAGGCGGTCAACGCGTCGCAGAAGAGGAACGCGATGATCTTCAATGCCCTGTTCCAGCTCCACACGGCGGTCACCAACCTTCTCCCTGTCATTCCGCCCTCGGCCATGGAGTATATTGATGACGCCCTCAAGCAGCTCGCCAGGTACCACCTGCCTCAACATACCACTGTGTGTGTCGTGTGTGTCGTGTGTGTCGTGTGTGTCGTGTGTGTCGTGTGTGTCGTGTGTGTCGTGTGTGTCGTCGCGTGATCATTGGCGCTGGGGTGGCCTCACGTTAATCCGCGTCACCACCACAGAGTCGGGCAGCAGATCATATCGCCGCTGTTTTCGCGCATAACTGCACAGCTGGAGGCCACCCTGCTGGGCATTCACCACGAGGGCTATGGCGGGTGCGTTTGCACTCCCTGTCCTCACTCTTCGATCAAGCGTCCAACACACCCGCACGCGTGTGTCGTGCTGTGTGTGTGTGTGTGTGTGTGTCATGTGTGCGTGATACGGTACAGTTCCAAGCACAGGGATGCTGTCCATCAGGTGTCGGCCTACATGGAGAAGCTGCAGAAGCAGATCCACCACTTCCACGCGGTCATCCTCTCCTACTTCTCCTCCTGCCCGGCCATCTCGATTCGCCTGCGGTACCGTACACCACCTTTGGCGGGCCACACACTGGTGCAGGTGATTTCATGCTCACCCCCGCGAGCCGCGTGACCTCAATCGCAGGGCGCTGGCCACCCGCGTGGTCACATTCTTTGTCCGCCACGCCGCCCTTGTCCGACCGCTCTCTCAGATCGGTACTACTACTCTTCTCACTCTCGAGCTATGTGTCGCGTGTGTGTCGTGGTGTGTGTCGTGTGTGACGCTGACGCATCAACGTGGTGCGCACATACGTAGGCACGCTCAAGCTGGCCGGCGACATGGCCCAGATGGAGTTGGCACTCGCGCCCATCCATCCGCTCAAGGACCTGGGCGGACCCTACAAGGAGCTCAGAGCTCTGCGGCCTCTTATCTTCCGGTTCGGAGGCCTCCTTATCTTTTATTATTTTTCATAATCTTATTTGCTAAATTTGTTCGTATTTGTCCGCGATCGCAGAGAGAAGGACCAGATCTTGGGTTCGCCCGAGCTGGAGAGTCTGTCGATGACCACCGCCATGCACCACATGTTCTCCCGAGCACCCGAAGAGCTCCTCTCCCCGCACGTCCGCGCCGGTGCGTCCCCCTTCCCCTCCCTCTTCCTTCGCGCTTCGTTCTTCGGGCGTTACCAACCTCTTCGTTCTTTTCTTTGGGGTGTGCGGGACTATGTTAGGGTGGAGCATTGCCAAGTACAGCAAGTGGCTGGACGAGCAGCAGGAGGCCGAGGTGTGGAAGCTGATCAAGGCCTCGCTCGACGCCTACGCCAACAAGGTCAACCAGCGGGGCGACAGCGCGTTCGACCCGATCTTCCCCGTCATGGTCTCCCTCGGCAACTACTTCCTCGAGAGACAGCGCACCGGCGGTCCCCTCTCCTGATTGCCCTTGCCATGTGGTGGTCACCACCTTCATCCTCATCACCACAATCACAACATCAACCCTTGGAGCACACCCACCATGAAGATGGAGAAGACGAAGTAGATGATGGTGATGATGTTGGTGATGATGATGGTGAAGGAGAGGTTAGAAGAAGGAGGGACAGAGGTGTGGCTTCTCCTCCTTGAGCCAATCCAAAAATCGTGAGGACCGTTCGTAGGTGAAGAGCGCCACGGCCGATCCTGGGATCGCGCGCATCATCGTCGGTCCAATCCCTAAATAACCGCGCATGGTCAGTGTTTGACACACGACGCACGACGCGCGCACGCGCACACACACACACGACACACGACACACACGACACAGCGAGGGATGGCAGGTACCCCGGTAGAGTCCTCTGACTCCCTCCTCCTTGAGCACCTCAACGAACATCTTGAAGATGGAGGTCTGCTCGGTGGCCTGCTTGATCTGGATTCGACTCTTCACCGTGTCCATCGGCTGTGCGGTGTGTGCAGTGCGTGCGTGCGTGTGCGTAGTGCGTGTGTGTGTGTCGTGCGCGTAGTGCGTGTGTGTGTGTGTGTGTGTGTGTGGGCCATGAGTCTTGCTTTTCAGGAGTGCGAGAAGACGAGTGTGGCCGTACGTAGGGCACGCCCCAGTATATGCACCCCGCACAGCCGCCGGCCAGCAGCTGAATCAGTGGTGGAGCCTGTCATCGTTGCAAAGGAATGTGAGACGCGCACGCACAAGACACACTCCGTCAGAGGCCAAGGTGACGAGAGTGCAGAGGCGGAAGGGGAGTTACATCAGAAGCGTCGCCTGCGTCCGCTGCTAGCGTCCGGCACACGGTCTCGTAGGTTCCGAACCACAGCGCCGTACCCACCAACTCCCGAAAGAATGTGCTACACACGCACACGCACACGCGACACACAACACGCACACGCGACACACAACACGCACCCACGCACCCACAATATCGCACACGGCACACAGTGAGTAGCTGCATGCAGTGCCCGTTTGATGATGGTGCGTACCTCCACCAACCGCGCCAGAGCCCGGGGATTCCTTCGGTCTTGAGGGTGTGCATGATGCAGTGCATGGTCCCTCGGTACCGCAGCTGCTGCTGTGCGCCGCCTGCCGCCGCGGCCGACATCGCCGAGGCCGCGGGCGGGGTCGCCCCTCGAGCAGCAGCCCCGGCCGCCGCGTGACCGGCTTCGCCTCCGGTCTGGACTTGCAAGCGGCACTTGATCAGCTCCACCGGCGTAAGGAACGTCGCCGTCGCCACGCCTGCGCGTGTGTGCGGTGTGAGCGTGTGCGGTGGTGTGTTCTGGTGTGTGTGTGTGGTGTGTGGTGTGTGGTGTGTGTGTGTTCGTGTTGTTGATTACCGGCGATGCTGCCGGCGAGACAGACGCGTGGAAGGCTGACGTGGTGGGTCTCGGGGTCCATCAGCGCCTCCTTGGCCGCGTTGTAGACCACGAACATCGATGCCACCTCCATCGCTGACCCTATCATCGGACTCGGTAGACCCTGCACTCACCATCACACCGCACACACCGCCGCACACGCACACGCACACGCACACGCCGCATGTAAGCAACAAAGTGGGGTTGAGTTGAAGAGAGTGTTGAAGTGAAGTGAAGTGATTGCAAGGTCGCGCGACCTTGTAGAGGGCGGTGAAGCCCTCGCGCCGGAGGGTTTTGACGAAGCAGTCCCACGGGCCGTTGAACTCGGGCACCATCGCGCCGCTGGGCGACATCACCTTCGTCCCGGCCTGCACCCGCACCTTGATGGTGTCGAAGGGCTGCTCCACGAACTTGCAGACGATGCCAGACACCTACACCGGCGTAGAGGGACGAAAGGATGAGGCTTGGCCAATCTTCAGAAGTTGAAGATGCATTTGCAGAAGTACAAGAGATGAGAAGGAAAAGAGGCTTGGGACATGGATGCGTACCGTGCCGGTGAAGAGGGTGCGTGCTACGGAGAATGATTTCTCATCTGAGTGCGACATCTCCAACAGCAGCGAATCTTTGTATCGAACTCGATCCGCTGGATCCGCGGTTGTGTTTGGTGAGGTGTTGAAGACCACCAAATCTCGCTAACTGCAGAATGATCGCCACAAGATGAGAATCACGTGTTCCTGGAAAAAGAAGGAAATTGCATTTCAACAACCATTTCCTTCCATTAACACTGCAGCCTCATTGGCTAAGCATGCCCTCCCTTATTTTCGAGGCTGTGATGAAGTGGTCGGGCGTCTTCCTCGCGCTTGTGGTGCTGGCCCAGCTTCGCCTCGAGGCCGCCGCGCTCGACAATGGCGTGGCTCGCCTCCCGCCCATGGGTACCTTCACTTTTTCACCTTCGTCTTCGTTCTTTTTTTGTTAATAATACTGTTCTTCATCTTCATCTTCTTCGTGTGTATTGTGTCCGACATCTTTTGAACAAAGGCTGGTCGACTTGGTGCACGGAGAACGACGTCTTGCCGTGCTACGACGACTTCTGCAACGAGCAGGAGATTCGTTCAGTCGCCGACGCCATGGCCGCCAACGGCCTCAAGGACCTGGGCTACAACTACATCGTCCTCGACGACTGCTGTGCGCCTCCTCCCCTCCTCCTCGAGGCGGCGATTTGTTTGGATCACCCCCTCGGTGCCGTGATTGGCTGACGCACGCAAGCTCGGTCGGTGGCGGTGGGATTTTACAGGGGGAGGAGGTCGTGACGCGCAGAACAACATCATCCCGGACGCCTCGCGCTTTCCCTCCGGCATGAAGGTTGCGTGCGCCTGCACTGTGTTGTGCGCGTGTGCGATTGTGCGCAGTGTGTGCGGTGTGTGCGATTGTGCGTGTGCAGTGTGTGGGTCACTCTGAGGCTGATGCTTGGCCTGCCTTTTTTTTCAGAACTTGACGGACTACATCCATGCGCGCGGCCTGCTGTTCGGCGTGTACACCGATGTGGGCACTACCACCTGCCGCGGGGGCCGGCCCGGCAGGTACCCTGTGCCACTTCTCTAACGCCCCTTCCTGCGCCATGCACAACTCACCCATCTCGCGCGTGTCGTGTGCGATCGCGTGCGCAGCTGGCCGTTCTACGAGCAGGACGCCCGTGTGTTTGCGTCGTGGGGTACGGTGGCTGGCGCGTTGCATTCTTGTAATTGTTGATCACATTGTTGTTGATGGCGCATTTCGTTTGGCCTGGCCAGGTCTCGACTACGTGAAGATGGATTGGTGCCACGAGCCCAGCGGCTTTACCGCCCAAGAGGTTCGCTCAACTCTTCCCGGCTCCCCCTCTCCCTTCCCTCCGTGCCCCGGAAGACTAACGCTGTTCGTTCTTCTTCGTTCTTCTCTTCATTCTCTTCATTCTCTTCGCTTTTCTCTTTCTAGCTCTACACCAACATGAGCCAGGCATTGAATAAGACGGGGCGTCCGATCTTCTTCAGCATCTGCGAGTGGGGTCGCTCCGACCCTTGGACTTGGTGCGGCAGCCTGTGGTCATGCTGGTCCCTAAGGCGCTGCTCACCGTGGTGGATTACTACAAATACAACTACAGGGGCATGAAGGTGGGCAACAGCTGGCGTGTGGGCCCGGACCACCTCCCCGTGTGGTGGACGCCGCCCTTCCAGCAAGACCCCGGCCAGGGACAGGGCACCGCCAACATCATCGAGCACATGGCCGGTCTCTCCTCCTACGCGGGTCCTGGCGGCTGGTACACACACGGCACACACAGCGCACGCACGGCACGCACGGCACACACGGCACACGCACACGCACGCACGCACGACATATACACTGACGCCATGATCAGGAACGACCCTGATTTCCTGATGCCGGGCTACTGGTGGCTGTCGGAGAACGAGCAGATCAGCGAGTTCAGCTTCTGGTGCCTGTGGGCCTCTCCGCTGATCGTTGCCACCGACGTGCGCGTCCTGTCCGACAAGAAGCACATCCTCAACAAGGAGGCCATCGCCGTCAACCAGGACAAGGTGCGTGTCGGATGCGTGTGTGCGTGTGCGGTGTCGTGTGTGCGTATGTTCGTGTGCGATGTGTGCGATGTGTGTCGTGTGCGCTCTGTGCTATGACAAACTGACCTTCGGTCAATCTTGGCTGCAGCTGGGGATTCCGGGCGATCGTATCGCGAACTACACCGACGGCGGGCAGGTTTGGGCCAAGCCGCTCTCCAACGGGTCGTGGGCCGTGATCCTGTACAACCCCAACTTCTTCGAATCCGTCGACATCCCCGTCTCCTGGGACCAGATCCGTGGCTGGCCGGTGCGTCTCTCTCTCGCGCGACACGCCGGGCGGGCCGGAATCTTGGAGGTTCCCGTGATGGCGCCCACCAACGCGCCGACCAGCGCACCCCTTGAACCACCACCGCACACGCACACGCACACGCACACGCACCGCCGCACACGCGACGCGACACAACGGCACACAACTCTATGGCTGATACCAGAAGGCAATGCAACAGGCCGGGAACAAGAAGGCGTTGGTGCGCGACTTGTGGAAGCACGAGAATCAGGGCGTATGGGCTGTCGGGTTCCTGGGCAAGAGGGTGGAGGCCCACGCCGTCCGCTTTATCACCGTCACCCCCTACGGCGCATAAAAACAAACGTTTTCCTTTCTCTCTTCGTCTTCTTTGTTTTTTCGAAGCGCTGTCATTGACTTATCCCACACGAGGCCGTCTGCGTTCGCTGGACGGGCGGGAGGGGAGAGGGCGGGTGGGGGGGGGGCGTACGGAGAGCTCGAGGATTTTGTCGAGGGTGGCGGAGGCGAAGAAGGGGGCGCTGATGGCGTCGGTGAGCATGGCCTTGGCGGCCGGCGTACCACAGCTTGTTGATGCCCCGCGTGGCGAACAGGAACTCGCGCTTCTTGTGGAAGTCCAGCGCCACACGCGCGTCCGCGAACCCTGCGTGCTTGCTCACACCGCACACGGGTGAGTCTTGATGGTCGTGCACGGTGTGTGAGGTGGGTGTGTGCGGTGCGTGTGCGGCAGGCGTGAGCGGTAGGGGTGTGTTACCGAGGGAGAGGTAAGTTGTTCATGCAGTTCTCCTGGGTCTCGGTGGTCTCGCCGCTCTGCGGGTCCACGACACGCGCGTGCAAGAACAGTGTGCGGTGGTGTGGGCGACCGGAACATTGCCATCACACGAAGGGACGAACTCTCGAGAGGGGTGGTTATGAACAGTTGTGTTGTATTTGCAGGAAGAAGTGGTGGAGGAAACACGCTTAGTTGCCGCCACGGAGACGGAGCACGAGGTGGAGCGTGGACTCCTTCTGGATGTTGTAGTCGGCCAGGGTGCGGCCGTCCTCGAGCTGCTTGCCGGCGAAGATAAGGCGCTGCTGATCAGGGGGAATACCCTCCTTGTCCTGGATCTTCTGCTTCACGTTCTCGATGGTGTCGCTGGACTCGACCTCGAGGGTGATGGTCTTACCCGTGAGGTCTTGACGAAGATCTGCATACCGCCACGAAGACGGAGGACGAGGTGGAGCGTGGACTCCTTCTGGATGTTGTAGTCGGCCAGAGTGCGGCCGTCCTCGAGCTGCTTGCCGGCGAAGATGAGACGCTGCTGATCAGGGGGGATACCCTCCTTGTCCTGGATCTTCTGCTTCACGTTCTCAATCGTGTCGGACGACTCGACCTCGAGAGTAATCGTCTTGCCGGTGAGGGTCTTGACGAAGATCTGCATACCGCCACGAAGACGGAGGACGAGGTGAAGAGTCGACTCCTTCTGGATGTTGTAGTCGGCGAGGGTGCGACCGTCCTCAAGCTGCTTACCAGCGAAGATGAGACGCTGCTGATCAGGGGGAATACCCTCCTTGTCCTGAATCTTTTGCTTCACGTTCTCGATGGTGTCGCTCGACTCGACCTCGAGGGTGATGGTCTTGCCGGTCAGGGTCTTCACGAAGATCTGCATTGTTGGCTGCTTGTGTGTAGCGCTTGTTGGTTTGTGTTGTTTGATTGCATGGCTCTTGTCCTTTTTGTAGGTGCGCGAAGCGAAAGCGGAAGAGAAGCCAATTCAGGTTTTCTCAGTTCCCGAAACTTTTTCAGGACTGTTTCCCAAACGTTAAACTCCCTAATTTCTGAAACTGAGTTTGCCAAACAAAGTGCGTTCTTTTCCGTTTGCTTTCTTCCCCTGTTCCGAAGCACGGGAAGGCTCAATGCAAGGACGTGAAAGAGCGGGTGCCAACTCAAACTCTCCATCAGTGCAAGCGCGAGTGCGACAGCCACAAGAAGGACCACGATGACGATGACTACTACAGCAGTCGACCAGGCCGTCCTGGCCGTGTCGTGGCCTTGCAGCCAATTACCTGCTGTTGGTACCACCCAATCCTGTGTGTGGTTTTTTGTGGCTTTTTGTAAACGCAGAAAGCCTCGACTCAACCAACCAAAATGACTCACGAGCAGATAAAATCTCTTTACGGCGGGAGGGAATGAAACGGAGTCACCACAAGAGCTCAACAAGGCCCATATTGTTATTCTCGTTGGCCTCGCTCGCACACCCACCATGCACCGGCCCTCGCTGCCGTTCTTCGTGGTGGCCGTCGTGATACTCGGGCTGGCGGCATCTCCGGCGCGGGCGCAGGGTAAGTATTACTCTGTTGTTTTTTTTTTGGTCCCTCGTCTTGAACCTCTTCTTTGGGTCACGAAGATTGCGCGAACCCGCTGGCGGATAACCTCGACCGGACGTCCAGCGCCACCATCACCCGGCCCCTCCTCGCACAGCGCTTCCAAGTCGTCAACCAGAGCGTGATCACCGGGTTCTACGCTCCGCTCTCCGGTGCCTGCCCCCCCCCCGATATATCCCATTCTTTCTCTTCTTCGCTTTATTTTATTTCGTTCTTTATTTCGTTCTTTGTTTCTTTTTCGTGGGCTGACGGTCGCGACTGTGCGCCTGGACAGGACCCAGAGGCGTCGACTCGGCGCGGCTCTACGCCGACAGCGCAGGCGCACCCAGCGCCACCGCCGTGCCCAACGCCACGCTGGACGTCACCTCCGAGATTGTCGGCTTCACGGCGACGCCGACCGCTACTGCCGATGGCTTGGTGCTGGGGCCGGGACTCTACTGGCTCGTGGTCGATGCCGGGTCCACGGCGCACTGGGAGCGCCTGGCCGTGGACTCGAGTCCCGCGGGATCTTCTCGGGTGGTGCTGCTGGGCCTGGCCTACCGGGCCAACCCCAACCAGGCGTGGGTGGTTGACGCCGGCAACAGCTTCAAGCTGACGGTCAGCGGCTGCGCGCCGGACCAGTCCAACACCTCAACGCCGTCGCCGTCGCCGTCGCCATCGCCGTCGCCCGGCATTAACCCGCCGGGGCTGCAGGTGGTCAACGTGACGTCGAGCTTCGAGGCCGACGCCGCCAGCTTCAACCTCACCGCCACCATTCGCGGTAACACAACAAATCAGTGGTGAGCTGATCTGTGGTGAGCTCACACTGATCTTGTTGTGTGTGTGTGTGTGTGTGTTGTAGGGAATGACACGACGTCAGGCAGCGAAGAGGAGGCGGTGCTGACTCTGCGCGCCGAGCTGGAAGGCATCCAAGTGGGCGATATCACGGTTCCGGCCTCGTCGCTGACCGGCTTCCAGCGAACGCAGCTGAACGAGTCCAGCGGAGACCCCGACGCTCGGACGACCTTCGCCTACGTGGCCAACGCCGACGCGACGGCGATCGAACAGGAGTTCTCGTTCCACCGGAGGCCGGAGCGAGGCAACTTCTTCGGTCGCTCGTTCGGCATCGCGCCCCACAGCTTCAAGTGGTCGCTCCGCCTTTCCTCCATCAATTCCTCGCATTCCTCATCGTCGTCGGCCGTCGAGCACACGACGGTTCGATATCGTATCACGCGCGTCTTGGCCTCTGC